ACTACTAACAAAAACTAGATTATTTTTTACTGGTTGTCTCTCTCATGTTCCCAGCCAGGGACCCGGCCCGCAACCCAGGCGTGTGCCCTGACTGGGGATCAAAGCATGGACCTTTGGGTTTGCAGGCCAGCGCTCAATCCACTAAGCCAGACCAGCCAGGTCAGGAAATGAGATTTTACGGATAATTTAGTTAATAGCATGTGTCTAAGTTTTATTATAATCTTGTTACAAAAGAAAAGGTTTTTAGTAGGCCAAATTTTAAAAATTGCTGTATTATGGAAAAGAGAAAATGGATAACAGTTAAAGAAAGAAAAAAAAAAAAGGCCAGTTTAGGATTCCTAGACTCTAGACTAGACAGAAGACTCTCAGACTCTCAGATACAAGTCGGTTGGGTAGGTCAGTAGATAGTTTTCCAGAATGTCTTAATCCTATTAAAACTCATTGAAAACTGCTTAAGCATTTTCTCAGGGATGCTATTTCTTTCCTGGATCCCTCTGGGAAGTTATATCCCACAAGAAAACATTTTCCCCCAGATCAGCTTTAGGACAACTATGATTAAATGAGTTTATATCTATAAAATGTTTAACATAGCGCTTGGTATGTACAGAGTGCTGTGGAAATGTTTGAGGGAGGAAGCAAGAGAGGGAGGGAGGAAGAGAGAGAAGACAAAAGTTCTTAGAAGCCACATTTCTCTCCTTTTAAGCCTTAACTCTTAAATCTTGTTAAAGAAAACCTATCCAAAATCTGGAAATAAGCAAAAAGAATTGCTGCATTTCCTTTCAGTGTTTTGGGGCATTGCCTAGCAGGCCCTATCAGTGATTACCCAATTCTCTAGTGGAGAGATGTTCTAGTGGAGAGTACGTTGACTGATATTAACTTGTAGAAAATAGCAATGTGAGTGACTTTCGTCCAACAGCAATGCAAAAGAATTTCATCTAGGAGAAAAGATAACCTCAAAGATTGGAGTTGTATTGCCCTTTGGACATTAATTTCTTTTTCTTTTTTCTGATTTTTTGTCTTTCATTCTTTCTTTTGGGGTGATATTTATTGGTCTGTTTTAATGTTCACTGATCACTTTCTTGGTTGTATCCAACATCATGTTAATCACATCCAAAGCATTTTTGGTTGCAGATGCTGTATTTTCAGCTTTGGGTTTACCTTTTGGTTCTCCTTTTATAGTTTAAAATATCTCCTAAAATTTTCCATCTCTTCAGCCACCATTTACATCTTTTCCTGTAGATCATTAACACCTTTATCGATGTTATCCTAAATCCCTGGCTAATTCCAATGTTTGGGTCATTTGCAGGTCTCTTACTATTGACTGATCTTTCTCTCCATTTCAGGGCAGTTTCCTGTTTCGATGAGGTCTAATAATTTCCTGACATATTGGACACTGCGTATGACATGTCATAGAAACTGGGGCCTGCTCTCTTCCTCTGGAGAATGCTGGGTTTTATTCCACTCGTGCTCTTCTTCTACTTCTCAGAGCCCTTCCCGCATTCCACTCTGTCCCGCACCCACACGGTTCCCAAGCCTCCCAGGCAGCACTTTGGAAGAATCTTACTGTGAAGAAAAGCAGAGAGGTGGGTAGTGCTTGACGGGGGCTGTGGGGTCAACAAGTTTTTGTTTGTTTGCTTTAAGTATAAGAGACAAATTACATAAATTTAAACGGAGTGTCTCTGGTGGAGAAGAAAAGTAGGCGTGGGGATTCAGTGTGAAGTGGAAAAACCAGTCATTGAACAAGGAGGGGGCCGGCCATCGGGTCAAAGATGGAGTGTGCCCGGAGCTGAAGAGACGGGAGAACTATCTCTGCTGGGGCAACAGCCGCCACCCTTGCCTCCCCTTTATGCCCAATTCACAGACGCTTCTGTTCAAGGTTGTGGATACTCACACTTTAATCTTTGGTTCCCCCCACCCCCTTTTACTCCCACGTGCCTCCCAAGGCAAGAAGTGGAAAGCTGGAAAGAATGAATACATTTATGTTTCTCTGAGATCAGTTAAGGCAATGCAGCACAGAAGTCTTTAAGAGCACCAGGGGGCCCAGGTAACAGTTATTAGAAAGTATTGAGTTTGAGCTGGGCAGGGACCCTCTCTGCCAATACCTGGCTGTGATTACACAGAGGGTTTCAAATCACCAGAGACTGGAAGGTCAGTCTTTTTTCTACCTGCTTCTCCCAAACATGGGCAGACGGGCAGAGCCCGGGACAGTAGTATCTGCTAAACCACAGCAGGCTGCTTCTGGGCCAGGAAAGTTTTTGTGCAGGGAATGGGCGTCCTGGGACAAAGGGCTACAGAGCGGAGACAATGACCCTGCTGTATGCCCCCAGACAGCGGGCCCGAGATGATTCCTAAAGACATTTTTGTTGGGTTACTGCACACCCACAAATAGCTGCTTTAAAGAGGAAAAAGAACAAAACTTGACAGTTACAGGGTTATTTAGAAAAGGCATTTTAAAACTAACAGATACACAGATGCGCCCGCTCGTTCTTGTAATAGACTCTAAATTGTTCTCCCAGCCTCCAGCCTCTCCCACGCCAATCTATTCTGCACAATGTAGCAGGGTTAATCTCCCTAAAGCACAGATTTGATCTCGTTACTTCAATGCTCAAGTACCTTCAATGGCTCCCCACTGCCTTTAAAATAACCAGTCTCCCAAGCTGGTGTGGCTCAGTGGATTGAGTACCGGACTTCGAATAGAAAGGTCATTGGTTCAATTCCCAGTCAGGGCACATGCCTGGGTTTCAGGCCAGGTCCCCAGTTGGGGGCGTGTGAGAGGCAATCAATCGATGTATCTCTCACACATTGATGCTTCTCTCCCTCTCTTTTTCCTTCCCTTCCCCTCTCTCCAAAAGTAAATAGAAAAAAATATTTAAAAAGTAAAATATCCTATCATTGCCCTGGCTGGTGTAGCTCAGTGGATTGAGCATGGGCTGCAAACCAGAGGGTTGCCAGTTCAATTCCCAGTCAGGGCACATGCCTGGGTTGTAGGCCAGGTCCCAGTATGGGGAGTGGGAGGAACAACCACACATTGATAGTTCTCTCCTCCTCTTTCTCCTTCTCTTCCCCTCTCTCTAAAAATAATAAATAATATCTTTTAAAAAATAGCCTATCATTGAAGATCCTTCATACTGGGGCCTCTCTCCTCTCCCCAGCCCATCTCCCACTGTTCCCTTGGACATCTGCTTAATTGAAGTGTTTCTCCCCAGTAGGGCTCTCTCCTTGTGGGACAAGTTTTCAATTCGCAATAATCATGCCTTGGATAAACCTCATTGGCTATGACACTGTCACTGTGCAAAGCTAGGGCTCTCTTCTTTTTTAAATTTTTTAAAAAATTTATTGATTTTAGAAAGAGAGGAAGGAAAAGAGGGAGACAAACATCAATTTGTTGTTCCACTTATTGATGCATTCACTGGTAGACTCTTATGTGTGCCCTGACTGGGGACTGGACAAACAACCGTGGTGTATTGGGACGATGCTCTAACCACCTGAGCTACCTGGCCAGGGCCAGGGCTCTCTTTACCTCTCTTCCTCTGCTCCCACTCTTCCCCCGACTCACTTCTACTCGATCTTTATCACTCTTAGTGCAGATGTTACTTCTTCTGGGGACCTTCTTCCCTACGTACGCACCCATGTCTGGGCTGAGCTAGGTGACCCAGCGAGAGGTTTACGTAACACCCTGCACTTCCTATGAAAGAAATAATAGTTTGTTTAGTTGCTTGTCTTTCCTGCTATACAACAAATTCTATGAGATCAGGAAGAAGACAAAGATGTCTGTTCCTGCCACTTCTGTTTTACATAGTACTGTAAGTTCTAGCCAGAGTACTTAGGCAAATTGTAAAGGAAGAAGTAAAATCATCTCTATTTATAGATGACGTGATCTTATATTCAGAAACTCTAAAGATTTTACAGAAAAAAAAAACTTAGAGCTAATAAACAAATTAAGCCAAATTGTAGGATGCAAAGTCAATATGCAAAAATCACTAGCAATGAACAACCTAAAAAGGAAATTAAGAATTCCATTTATAATAGCTTCAAAAAAGGGTAAAATATTAGGAATAAATTTAACCAAAAAAGGGCAAGACTTGAACAATGAAAGCTACAAAATGTCATTGAAAAAAAATTAAAGAAGACCAAAATAAATGGAAAGACATTCCATACTCATGGATCAAAAAGCGTAATGTTACTAAGATGGCAATATCCCCCAAACGATTTACAGGCTCAATGCAATCCTTATCAATATCTCAGCTGTGGTTTTCGAAATGGACAAGCTAATCCTAAAATTCATGTGGAGATGTAAGGGACCCAGAGTAGCTAAAATATCCCGAAAAAGAAAAAAAAAAGATGGGGGGCCAAACAAAGCGGGAAGACTTATGCTTCCAGATTTCAGAGCGTACTACACTATCATGATGGTGTGGTATCGGCGTAAGAAGAGAAATATGGATTAACGAAGTAGAATTCAGAGGCCAGAAATAAGGCCTTATGTTTATGGTCCATTAATTTTTGATAAGGGTACCAAGGATTCAACTCAATTTGGCACTATTACCTGCAACTGGACATACACACGCCTGGCACACAGTACGAGCTTAGTGGATGGTAAACATCATTATTGGTGATTTGGGTTCCATTTTAATGTCTCTCACACTCCTATGGGTCCCTCAACTTTGGCATCTCAGCACCTGGGGCGGTTAACAGCAGGTCTTCAAATGGTATTGCTTTTGTAATATTCATCAAGTCCACAAGTTTCCAGACTCACAGAAAGGTCTGTTGTTGGCAACACGCCTTCCCCATCCACCCTTCAGAGTGAGCATGCAGTGGTTGGAAAGGCTCAGGACTTACCCCCAGAACCCCCCACCGACATGGTCAGGAAAAGGAAGTTTTTAGAAAAGGGCTTTGCTAGCTCTAAACATAATTGAAATAAATGCAACAAACATCTGCTTTCATTTTTTTTATTTTTAGACATTTTCCTTTATGCATATAATATCATTTATTGATTCAGTGGCCAAAGAAGATAGCATTTGCTCAGTTAGGAAAGGCACTTGTCAGAAAGAAAATAGGCAAAAGCATTGCAAGATCCCCGTCACCAGCTGTAGACTCCTTGAGCAGGGAGTGGGATAGTGAGTAGCACCTAACTTGCACGTAGGAACCCTAGAAGGACTTTCATCAGATAAGACAAAACACTAACACTCTTTGATTTCCTCCCCTCACCTCTCCACCTTCCCTTCGTTCCTCCACTTCCAAGCTTTCATTTAGCAAAAGAACAGATTTTAGAAAAGAATTCTAGAAATCCCAGGTCCAGTCGGCTGAGGGCAGGAGAGTCTGATTTCAGGGCTGGAACATTGCAAACAAATTTAAGCAGAATACATTCAGGGAATATATCTATTTGGAGCTCGAGACTATTTGGCTTTGCCCTGGTTCCACGCCTGGTTCCTTGGGCCTAAGTGTTGGGAAATGAAGCAGGAATCCGCAGAGCTTGTGTGGGTTTAGACGGGGCTCCCTTTGCTACAATCATGGAAGCTCAAAGGAGCTACCGCCGTGGCTTTGCCCCTGCCTTCGATCTGGAAGCCAGACCGCTGACCTCCACTCGACACATGGGCAAGGGTGTCCACTTCTCGTTCAGCTCACAACAAATCTGTGCTCTTTGACTCAGGATGGTGGGGAAGAGTGTGAGACAAAATAAAGGTGGACTTTGGGGTCAAAGAGACCTGGGTTTGAGCCTTTGCAACTTCCTAGCTGTGTGACTTTGGACAAATACTATTTTTCTCTGAGTTTGAAATTCTCATCTGTGGGAAAAGAATACCTCCCGAGGTTATCGGGGAAAAATAAATTCTATAAGATAATTTGTGTGAAAGCACCTCGCACATGCCTGGTACTTGGTGGATATTTAAATGAAGTTACAGGCCCTGGTCAGTGTGGCTCATTTGATTGGAGCATCCTCTCATAATCCAAAAGGTCGCGGGTTTCCAGTCAGGGCACATGGGATAGGCAACTGATTGCATCTATGTTTGTTTCTCTCTTTCTCCCCTCCCCTCCCCGATCTCCCGAACCCACGAACGCACATTGCTGGATTCCCAACATAGCTCCACCTCCTCAGATGACAAAAGAGCACTCTGCGGTTTTTGGGTAAGGTGGCAGTAAAGACACAGACACAGCAGGGGGCGGGGTGGGGGACAGGGCAGGGCCAGATGGGGTTGGGGTTGCCTGAAGCATCAGGGATTGCAGAAACTCATAGTGAAGTTGCCAGAGGAGAAATGTGCTTCTAGGTCTGGACTACAGAAGGCTCTTCAGACGGTGTGGCCAAGACAGCACCAGGGTGGGCCGGTCACCGGATCTTCATCTGGACATCAACAGGGCTGAAGGTCACAGATGCAGAGTGCTTGCCGCCGCCTCTCTTGGGGCCCTGGGCAGAAAAGGAGGCTGGCTTGGCGCCCTTGGGCTCCAGCTCCCGTTTTGCCCTCATTTTCCTGCAACGAGATACGTACACATGGTTGAGTGTCCCCCCTTGTATACCCAGGGAATGGGTTCTGGGAATGGGATCTGGCAAAAAAAAAATTAATGTAGATGATCATAAATCATGTTACTTAATTGCCAAGCACAGAGTTTCACAACTGGAAGGGATCTTAGACATTAGCTAGTCTGACCCTTCCTTTTTTGTTGTTGTTTAATCTATATTAGATATTTATTTAAATTTTTCCTTTTAATAAATCAGTAACATGTCAGATAGTTGGCTGTATTAAAGACAAAACACGGGACTTCTGGCCAGGATGGTGACTGGCCTCCTTGTACAACCACATCAAAATTACAACTAAAATATGGAACAGCCATCACTCAGAACTGTCAGAAATCAAGTTGAACAGGGGTCTGACAATGATGGAATTAAAGAAACCATATCCATCCAGACTGGGAGGAGGGGTGAAGATGCAGAACGGGCTGGTCCCACACCCACGTGGGGTGGATAAAAATTTGGGTGGGATATCTTGGGAGCAAGAAGTCCCAGCCCCACACCAGGCCCCCCACCCCAGGGTTCCAGTGCCAGGAAGATAGGTCCCCACAACTTCTGGCTGCAAAAACCAGCAGGGATTGAGTCAGTAGAAGAAACTTCTGGAGTTCAAAGCAGTTCCCCTTAAAGAACCCATACACAGACTTACTCAGGTTCAATCTCTTTGAGCTCCATCGCTGGGGTAGCACCTTGCTGGGCACCAGTGGCATACGGGGAGGAACTGAAGGTTCCGGCAATCCGGCGAGTGCTGGAGGGACAGTTTTCTCTCAGACAGAAAGGTGGGCAGAGGCCATTGTCCCTTTCTGAACTCTCCCCCGACAGAGCCACAAGCTAGCAACCTGGTACCATGTCAGAGACTCTATCAACCTGGCTAACGCTGTTTGCCCTGCCCTGGAGATCCACAGAGACTCTGCCCCACCCAACATACTGGTCCACCCACACTGTTAAGTGTGGTTTTTCCATATGAATGGCTGGTCTTGGCTCATGTTTCACAACTTCCTAAATCCTATCAAATAAGCAACAGCCGGCCTCAGTGGGCCCCAAGCCCAGGTACCTCTTACTAAGTGGACCCAGGCATGGCACTAGCAGCAGCCAGCCAGGTTCACAGCTTAGCTTTGCCTGGGAATCTCCAAGCCCAGCACAAGAGGCAGACATCTCAGACTGCTTTATAGCTCATGCAGGGTGGCCCTGGGGAACACACAGGTGGGGGCTGACCTTGGTCTGCACCACTAGGGAAATCCCAGAGTCTGTATACCAGGTAGACAGCTATAGACCATGTCAGAGCACCACCACCCTGCCCCTGCACAGCTGATTCTCCACAGAGGGTGGAGGTTGGTGGTCAGTGGTCACAGCCAGTTCTTGTCGCTGAATGGCCTGGGTAAATCCCTCCTACTGACCTGCCAACAGAGATCAAGGCTCAACTACAAGAGGAGGGTGTACTTAGCCTACTGAGGGCGTACCTCAAGTACCCAGCTTGAGTGATAAGGGAGCCTGTGCCACTGGACCCTATAGTACACCTACCACATTAGGCCACGCTACCAAGACACCGAGTCCTAGCAGCTCTACCTGATACACAGAAACAAACACGGGGAGGCTGCCAAAATGAGCAAAGACACAGGGACCTAATGAAAAAACAGGTCAAAACTCCAGAAAAAGAACTAAGCAAAATGGAGATAAGCAATCCATCAGATACAGAGTTTCCAACACTGGTTATAAGGATCTTCAAGGAACTTAGTAAGGACCTCAACACATAAAAATGATCCAGTCAGAAACAAAGGATACACTAACTGAAATAAAGAACAATTTTCAGGCAAACAACAGTAGAGCAGAGAAAGCCAAGAATCAAATCAATGATTTGGAACATAAGGAAGCAAAAACAACCAACCAGAACAACAAGATGAAGAAAAGAATCCAAAGAAAATGGGGACAGTATAAGCAGCCCCTGGAACAACTTCAAGCATTCCAACACTTGCCCCATAGGGGTGCCACAAGGAGAAGTGAAAGCGCAAGTAACTGGAAATCTATTTGAAAAAAAAAATAATGCAAGAAAACTCCCCTAATTTGGCGAAGGAAATGGACCTGGAAGTCCAGGAGGCACAGAGAGTCCCAAACAAGATGGATGCAAAGAGGCCTGCTCCAAGACACACCATGATTAAAATGCCAAAGTTGAAAGATAAAGAATCTGAAAAGCGGCCCTGGCTGGCTAGCTCAGTGGATTGAGCGCGGGCTGCGAACCAAAGTGTCACAGGTTCGATTCCCAGTCAGGGTACATGCCTGGGTTGCAGGCCATGACCCCCAGCAACCGCACATTGATGTTTCTCTCTCTCTCTCTCTCTATCTATCTCCCTCTCTTCCCTCTCTAAAAATAAATAAATAAAATTTTTTTTTAAAAAGCCTTATTAAAAAAAAAAAGGAATCTTAAAAGCAGCAAGAGAAAAGCAGTTAGTTACCTACAGGGGCATCACCATAAGACTGTTAGCTGATTTCTCAAAAGAAACTTTGCAGGATAGAAGGCATTGGCAAAAAATATTCAAAGTTATGAAAAGCAAGGACCTACAGCCAAGATTGCTCTACCCAGCAAAGCTATCATTTAGCATTGAATGGCAGATAAAGAGCTTCCCAGACAAGAAAAACTAAAGGAGTTCATCATCACCAAACCATTATTATATGAAATGTTAAAGGGACTTATTTAAGAAGGAGAAGATCAAAACCATGAGCAATAAAATGGCAATAAATACATATTATCAACAATTGCATCTAAAAAACAAACTAAGCAAACAAGAAGAACAGAGACAGAGAGCATTTTGATGGTTGCCAGATGGGAGGGCGGTGTGGGGGAATGAGTGACGAGGGGAGAGGATTAAGGACCAATAGGTAGTTACAGAATAGCTATGGTGTATAAAGTACAGAATAGGAAATGGAGTAGCCAAAGAGCTTGTACACATGGCCCATGGACATGGACAGTTGTGGGGGATTGCCTGAGGGAGTGGGGTGTGCTCGGTGGAGGGAGGCAAAGGGGGAAAAATTGGGATAACTATAACAGCATAATCAATAAAAAAGAAAGTTTAAAAAAGATAAACGTATTTTCGGCAGTGTGAGTTAAATTTTGTAGCCTCATTATGCTTGCTAAGTTTATTGTTAGAAATATTTAGAAACTTTTACCATAACTGAGAAGAGAATATACTTACAACATATATTCCATCTTTCATTTCACGTGGCATAAAATTCAATAGTTAACAACAATCTTTCATTCTAATGGCTACATGATATTTCATCTTGCTGACCCATCAAATCCTCAGAAAAGTGGCACAAATAACTACAGTTAATACCTGCATACCCTTCACCACACAATTCACTGGTTGTTAACAATCGGCCATATTTGCTCGCTTTCTCTCTCCCTCCCCATTCACACACATGCAGACATGCATCCAGAATGAATTTGTTCAAGATCGTGGACCATTTGTGAGTGAGTGGCAGCTGTCAGGCCACTTTCCCCTGGACAACACCAAGAACGAGGGCATTCTCCGACGTAACCATGCTGCGACGATCACACTTTCAGACCCTTCTGTGTGAAAGGTGAGAACGTCGGTCCCGAGAGGTTAAATGACTTGCCTAGTTGCGACAGACCAAGCATTAGTTGCGACAGACCAAGCATCACTGGAAGGAGGGTTGGGTGGAGTCTCCAACCACACTGCAAGCCAGAAAGGGGGCTCAGAGCTCCAGCGTCTACAGAGAGGAGTGAAGGGCAGCCTCGGGCCGGGGTTGATGACACCTCCTGGTTTGGGATAGGCTCAAATTGTGACACCCCAAAGATTTTTAAAAATAATTTATTAAATGTTATTGTTATTGTTGTTGTATTACATGTGTGGTGGGAATGTTTTCTTTGATGTTATTATTATTATTTATTATTATTGTTACATTACATGCAGTGGTGGGAGGGTTTTCTTTGAAACCAGATGCACTGGGCTTGAGACCCAACTCTGGCAATCAGGGCTGAGCGACCTTGGTTATGTCACTTCATCTTCCCATGCCTGTTTCATGCCTAAAACTTGGCGATAACAGTAGTACCCACCTTGCGGGGTTGTTGTGAGGTGTGAACGAGTTAATGCATGTAAGGAGCTTAAAACCATGCCTGGCTCATAGCAGGAAATGAATGTAGGTCCTCAACCATCATACATAATATTCATTTTATTATAAAAACAATGCATGTTTACTAGTCCTCAAAAATAAGGAAGCACAGGCCCTTCCCCTGTAAAAGCCAACAACCGACTAACTAGCGATGCCATCCGGACACAGGGCTGGTGGACGCCTCTGTCTCACCGGAGCTCTCCGCGGATGTGAGTGTGTGCAGCCCAGCGTGGGTTCACTGTGCATACTGCTCTTGGACTCTGACAACACACTGTCAACAGCTCTCCTCACAAACAAATATGCTTCTACAACATCTTTTTTTAAATGGCTTTCAGGCCTTCCATGATGTGGTTGTACTTATAGTCTTTTAATTTCTTTTCTTTTCCTCACTAACTTTGTTTTAATGGGCCTCAGAATTCTGTGACAGATTTTTAGCCAAGTCGTTTCCGTGAAAAAGTACCGATTTCAAAAACAAATCATTTAAAAACTGCTGCACCTGCAACTGACCACTTTTTAATTTTGGTTTCTTCCCTGAGAAGAATTACCTGCCAGCGAAGTTGTGACTAGAGGTAAGAACACAAAATTTATTCTTTATACAATCACATTATATTGTTTTATTTCCTCTTATTTGGCCCCAGAAAGTGGGGTCATGTGTATGTGCCTTCAAGTACCTGTCACCTCAAATATTCAGGTGGCTCACTGATTGCAACCTAGCAGAGGGCTCCCCAAGAGAAGAGAATGGAAACTTTCCTCTATTACCTGTATATTATGTAAAGGTGTTTGCCACAGTGCTCAAGGCCTTTTATCATTGCCATTATCATCATCATTGTATTTACCCTTGATCTTAGCTAAAAGGCTGAAAAGCGATCATCGTTATATTTAAAAATATTTCTCCTAGTACAAAAATATTTGGTCACTAGGAAATCTCCATAGTAGAACAGGTATCCAAAGAGGACTCACAAAGGGTTGAGCATTGGATGGTGGACTCATTCACACTGCTGGGCACCAGACAGGCATCCACAAATGTCAGTTCCCATTCATTCTGGCATCACCGACGGGGCCAGACAGTTCCCAAGCCCAGGACACCTCATACCTGTTGTACCTCTTCAGCACGTACAGAACCGCGGTGAGGAGGAGGACGACAACCACCACGACACCAGCGACGATGGCTCCAGAACCTATAAGGGGGACAGGGGTGGAGACGGCAAACGTGCAAACCGAAATGCAGAGAAGCATTTAGAGACGAGGACGGGGACCCCTACTGTGTCACCTGGCATCCCCACTGGGTCAAGGGGAGAAGGAGAGAATGCTGAAATTCACTGTGGACCCCAAGGTAGAGTCACTCTAGAGCAGCAGTGTATCTCCACTCACAGGGGGGCTCGGGGACCTGTGTCTCCAGCGTATCACCTGCCAAAACCTGCCTCAGCATTCCTGTTCTTCCCAGCCTGAACCCAGCCGCAGGCTTCTTTTGTGAAACAGCAAGCAAAATCCCCTGCCTTCTTTTTAACATTTTTTATGATTATTCATTTTATTTTTTATTTCTTTATTTTACTTTATTTTTGTTTTATTTTTTTCCTGAATTTGTTGGAGTGACTGGTTAATGAAATTACATAGGTTTAAGGTGTACAATTCTATAATATATATACTCATCTGTACTGTATTGTGTGTTCACCACCCCAAGTCAAGTCCCTTCTCTCTTTTTAATAATATGAAAGTAATATGTAATTTTTGTAGATAATTTTGAATATATAAATACAAGCAGAAAAAAGGAAAGGAAGGATAAAGATCTCATTGCCCCAAGAACCACTAATTGTCTACAGATATATATATTCACCAAGATGATCATGTACATATGCATTAAATACCTATCAATCTTTATTAATCCTATGTCTGAAAATCCATCTGAAGGAAATATTAAAAAATGTGGAAAATATACACTTAATAAAAGTAGAGCCATGTTCTGTATATCATTTTATAACAATATCCTGATGTCTCCCAGCGATTACATACTGTTCTTCATGGCTTTTTATGGCTGTATAGTACTCCATTGTATGGATGTGCCATACTTCACTTACCAATTCCCTACTGAGGATATTTATGTTGTTTTACATTTTACACTATTAAAACATGGCTAGCACTGTAACATATCTCAGGCTCTCTCTTTTTTTAATGGTAGCTCACTTTTAAACTCAGATTTTACCTATTTATTTTTAGAGAGAGAAGAGCAAGGGACAAAGAGAAACATCGGCTGATTGCCTTTTGCATGCCCCCAACTGGGGATCTGGCTCACAACTGGGGCATGTGCTCTGACCGGGAATCTAACCAGCAACCTTTCAGTGTGCAGGCTGATGCTCAATCCATTGAACCACACCAGCCAGGGCATCAGGTTCTAATTTTAACATCATCTTGCAGTCCTAATGCCCAACTCTAATTTTAGGTGTGAAGTCAATATCCTCGTCAGAGTTGATATTGAAAATAGTTTTAAAATTATTAAAAGGTTCCTAAGTTTAACCAATCTATTTGACTCTGAGAAGTTTATCTCAGGAAATAATCCTAAATACAGAAAAAAAACCCTGTATGAATGAAGAAGTTTATTACATTGTTCATATTCTGACTATGGCAATGATTCAATAAGTATGGCACATCTATCCCATGAAATATTGTGCTATAATTTAAATGATGATCATGAAGACTAGAGTAACATGGGAACACTTACAATGCTATAAAGTATAGAAAACAGAACATGACATTATATATACGCCCACAAATACATAACACATACATGTAATGTTGGAACCATCAAAATATACGCGGACAAGCATAATGTTGACAAAAGAAGTTAAATACAAAAGAGTGATGCATCGTACGATCACATTAATATAAAGTTCAAAACCAAGTAAAACGCATCTCTGGTGGGAGAAGTCAGAGTAGGGGGCCCCCTTGGGTGGCCGGGGACAGGGATTGGGGGGGGCACCAGGACTTCTGGGATATGGGTGGTGGTCTGTTTCCTGGGGGGGCTGTTATACATGCGTGTTCACTTTGTGAACATTCATCCAGCTGTGGATTTTTGTGCACTTTCGAATATATGCAAAACCTTTATAAGAGGTTCACTTAAAAGGTATATGCAATATTCAGAGGAGGAAGGACCAGAGGAGGGGGTGGGGAATCCAGCGGTGACGGTTTAGTTTGGGGCTCTCCAGCCTCGGCCGGGCCACTCTCTGCTGCGGGGCTGTCCTGTGCATCACAAGATGCCTAGTGGCGTGCCTGGCCTCTTCTCCCTGGATGCTGGTGGCATTTCTCTCCCCACCCCCCACCCAGCGGTGACAACCAGTAGCATCTCCAAACATTGTCAAATGTCCCCCGGTGGCAGAGTTGCCAGATAAAACACAGGCTACCTGTTTAAATGAGAATTTCTGGCAATGAATAATTTTTTAGTATGTCTCAAATATTACATGGCTCACCCTTATAGTAAAACAAAAAATATTGTTTATCTTCAAGCCTACATCAACTAGGTGTCCTATATTTGTATACTAAATCCGGGAACCCTATCTAGGGGGGCAAAATCGCCCAGTTGGAAGAACCATTACTTTCAGTGAAATCAGCGCAGGATCACTCCCATCCTGCTGACGGTGATTCCACCTCCCCTGTGCTTCCCTTCCGAGTGGCTTTGAGACACACCTTACAGGCCTCTGTAGGTCTGCACGCCCAGCAAGAAGCAGGCTAACACACAGGATGCTGTCCCAAGGGTAACCCTTTCTGGGCTTCTGTGGCAGGGAAACGCCTGCCTGTAAGCCAGCGTCCTGCCAGCACCAAGCCTGAACCTGTGTATCACGGGGGAACCCTCCACACGTGTCGGGAGGGCTATTCCGTTCGTGGGAGTGTGTACTGGGTCGACTGAAATGACTGGAATGGGCCAGACTTCCCCCAACACGATCAGTTGGTTTTCTGAAGGGCGGCCCTCCGGTTTGCCCTCCCAGGGACCCCTGTTCCTGGTAAATGTCTCCCCTGGGATAACTCATCCCATCGGCACTCATTTACTCCTTTGTGAACTGATGGGATGTTTCCGCCTTGCAAAAATAGTATGGAACTAGCTATACTTTGATGGGACAAGTTAGGGACATCTTACAAAAGTTCCCATTGCCCGCTAGACTCCAAACCTCCCTAATAAAAAATAGAAATAATAATAATACTCACTAGGTATTTAGTACGCATCAAACTATTCTCAGATCTTTACACAGATGGTCTCTTTTAGACCTCACACCTGCCTTTTGCAGTAGCCCCATTAATATTGCCATCTTACAGCGGAGAAAACAGGCACAGAGCACTGAAGTCACATGTTCAAGGTTACCCAGCTGGCAAGCAGTGGAACTGAGCCTGAGCCCCGGGCCGTCCGTCTCCAGAGCCCAGGTTCTTGACTTCTACACCAGGAGCTGACCAGGACACCTGTCCCACCATCCCTCTGCCCGCTGGCAAGCCAAAAGTAAGTGCCACTTACTTTTATACAGAGAGTCTTCTTCCTTGGTGGTGACATTCAGTGAGAAGAAGGGGGTTGTCCCTGTGGGGGCGGCTGTGGTCATCTTGATCCTGATAAGAACAAAGATGAAATTTTGTTTCAAATCAGAGTCAGCTCTGTAACTCCTGTGCGATGCTGCTCTTTGTCGTTATCTGGTTGACTGGAGGAGGATATTCAAGCCTTACGGTTTCCCTTAGCAGCAACTGAACACAGAGCCCTTTACTGCGTACTGTGGGAAAATAAAAAGAGTGTCTGACATTGGTAAAGAACTTCATTCTCAAAGCAGTTTAAATTCATTCAACAATAGTTATTCAACTCCTCCTAAGTTTCACACAGAATGAATGTCTAAACTGATCTTCTAGAAACTGTGTGAGGGAGGTTGTTATTATTGCCATTTGACTGATGAAACCGAAGCCCCCAAAATGATGTCGATCCCCAAGTGTGCCCCGTGGAGTTTAACCCAGGACGTCCGCCTCCCGCACTGGCCAGCCTTCACCACCCCACAACAATGCCTGAAATGACGTTCCTGCTTTCGAAAGCTGTATGACCTAAGGAGGCAAAGAAAAAAGAAAAAGCCGCTGGGAAAAATGACTATGGTTAGTGGTAGTCAGTGACATACATGAACCGCTGGGTTGTGAAAAATGGCCCCAAGGGCCAGGGCAGTTTGGATGGGCCCGAGTGGTTTGGGGTGGGGGGAGGGAAAACAAGGGTCCGGCTGCACAAAGGCCTCCATGGGAAGAGAGGTGACCTGCGTTGAGCATTTCCCGCACACCCACCCGGCTCTGTCCCTGGTGTCTTCACGTGCTGTATGAGCGCATTCCGTCCTCTGAACCGTCTGCATTTTACTGCTGAGCAAACTGAGGCTCGGAGTGGTCGAGTGAATTGACCGAAGTCTCACAGCTCTAAGATGTGGAGCTTAGGGTCAAACACATTCTCTGGGTGCACGGTGTGCCTTCTTTCCCCGACACCCCTAGGAATCAGAGTCCCTGTGATCTTCCACTTGATGAGCAAGCCAACAGGCATCCTCCACCAAGATCCTCCACCAAGAATTATCTTCTAAGCACAATGATATTACAAACAAATGCTCTGAACTACCAGCATCAAGAAAAGAAGGGAAATAGACCAGGCTTTGCTTTTCCTCTTCAGAGCAGCCAAGCTTGTCCTGCTGCTGACCCTTCCAAGGCTGGTGGGGATCTGCACCCCGAGAAGAGTGGTCCCAGCCTCTCTGGGGCCCACAGAAGCCCTGAGGCCTCCCCATAGCTGCTCCCTCTTCCGGAGAAGAGATACTTTACACCCTTAACAAAATGTGCATCAATTTATTTACTTTATAAAATTTAATTTATAATGTAATAGGAGCCTGTGTACCCAGCACTTAGATTGAACAAATGTTTGTAATTATATTTTCTCCTGTTCTTTGTTTTTAAAAAATAAACTCAGTTGAAATCCTTTTGTATCCTATCTCAATCCCTCCTCCAAAGTAACCACTGTCTTGGCCACTGATGCATATTCTTTTCAGCAAAGTTTTTTAAGTGGTGACTACGTATGTGTATGTCCATAAACACAGCATACACACATAAACATAGTGTACATCCATAATATAGTACACACCATAACCATTGTACATGGTATGGTTTTTAAATCCATGTTTTGATTCAATTAGCAAATGCATGTAAAATAGGTTTCCCTTTCCCCTTGTTTCAGATGAGGACCCCAAGACTCGGGGATACAAAGCTAACTTTCCAGGCTCATACAGCCCGGAAGCTGGTCCTGCAAACTTCAAAGCCTGGATTCTCCCCACTGCACACCCTGCCCTGGTGCACATCTTAGGGGCGTCCAGGGCAAGTCACTGCAGATCACACACGGGCACTAGACCCACACTGACCAGTAACTCAGCTGTCTAAGGCCCCCTCCGCAGAACAACCTCCTGGGTCGCCCCCCCCCAGTTCCAGGTGCAACCCCCTTTCAGACGGGCCCCACTACTCTTCTTCCTGCGAGAACAGTGAACAATCCCAGAGCAAATCTTGCCTCATCTCGGGACTGAGGGCTCTCAATTACATCTCTGTTCCTGCCACATCAGAGAAGGCGGGACAGAGGGTGGTGGAACATCGATGGCCAAAGATGTGGGTGTTTTCATGTGCAGGGCCCCAGTGAGCCTTGTTAACCAAGTGGGGTCTGGCAGGAGGATTTCAGTATCGAACACACCTACGACCAGGGTCTGTGGCTACAGGAAAGGTTGGGGGGGGGGTGTCCAGGGAGGGTGATGCCGGTTTTCAGTGACAGGGGTTAATTTAATAATAATAGTAATAATAGTAACAACAACAACAATAATAAACTGCATGCCAGGCACTGCACTCAGTGCTTTATGTGGAGGGTCTCATTTAACTCTCACACCTATCTGGCAAGGGGGTGCAATCACTGTGCCTAGTCTGCAGATGAGGAAACTGAGCAGAGTAAAACCAATACAAGCTCTCGGAGCTGATGCGTAGCTGTGCCAGGATTCGAGCTGGGTCTGTCTGATTCCACAGCCCCTTCTCCGTAGATCCTCCCAGTGAATACACAGTGTACAAACGGCCCAGTGCCCAAGGCTCAGATCAGCTTCGGGCTTTGATGGGAAAACCCACACAGGCTGGGGCACAGCAGAGAGAGCCAGAGCCCTTGCCCCAGGCCCCTGACCCTGACCGGCCCTACCTTACTGGTCCCTGTCCCGGGCAACACTCAGATCTGTCCCCAGCAGAGCCTTAGTTACATTCCCAGAATCAACAAGGAAACGCTGCTCCTTGAGTGGTTTACAAATGGCCTTGTGTGGGAAGTCAGTTCGGGAAGTGATGGAGCATCACGACCATTTATTCACCAAGTCCCCACCCCTTCTCTGTTCCTTGGTCAAGTGCAAGTGCCAAATCTGGAAGAGCAATGTTGCCAGGCCCACCTGTCCAAAATACCTCCCCAGCTGCTCTGCCCCAGTGGTACCCTCCTTCCCTCCGGCTTGGCCTGAAAATTCCTCATTGGATAAGATAACAAAGACTGTACCAATCCCAGCTGACCCCTACTCAAACGGCCAACTGTAACTCAGAGCAGGTGGCCCATCAATGACCTTGACCCATCCCAACACTGGGATTGATTTCTCCCAATCACCTGAGATGTGGGGCGTTCAGCATGGCCCGGTCTCCTCCATAGACAAGAACCTCATTATTCCCAAGCAGCCCTTTGAGTTACTGGGATGTTTTAATTATTACAAAACTAACCTTCATATTGGAACCAACATTTCTCTTCCTGTGATTGTCAGCCATTGGTCCTAATTCTCTTTCCATGAAGACAGCCCACGAGCAGTGTACTGTGGACGCCTGTGGAGCTAATGAGCTATTTGTTGGCATTAATCCAGTGCAATGTCAGTAGGTTGTGTGCACAGCGACTGTGCTAAATATCCTGCATGTTGTATCTCATTTAATTCTCACGACAGCCCTGTGGAGTTTGCAATTCCTGTTTTACAAACCAGAAAACACAAGAAGTGAAGAAAGTTGACCAAGATCACACGGTGAGTAAACAGTAGAATTTAGACTCGGGGGGCTGATAAGTGTCAAGAAAAATGTCATTCTACACATTTCGGGACCCCTCTGGAGTCAGGTGGTCAGCTTGGGGTGCATAGTTTAGGGAGATATTGACACACAGAAAATTGAGAAACCCCAAAGATTGTTGAAAGGATCTGAGACTATTTATCTGAGAAGAAATTCATCAGAGAACATACAATTGCCATTTTCAAGGGCAGAAAGCTCCTGTGTTAGAAGCAGGTTGGGATCGCAGGACATCTACCAGTCATTCGTGGGTTACTGCATTTGTCGGACTAGAAGCCGCACTCTCACCCCACCGCCCCAAATTTGGGAGGAATAATGATTGTTAATGCTGCTGTTGAGTTCTGTTACATTTACATTGGTGAGACATTACGTTATTTATGTTATTAAACATTCTACCACATTTTTTGCTTCAAAAATTTTCCCTCCTATTTTCCTCCTCTAAAACCTAGCCAACTGCTATCACCACCTTTTGATGGGAGGAAAACTTGAAGTGCTGATGTCAGCTGTTCATACACACCGTCGCGCTCCCAAACCTTTTCTGGACTTTTTATTATGCTTGTTTATGGTCAGTCAAAGCAGTTACCTAACTGCTCCACCCAGTGGAAGTTTGAGTTTAACCTTTCATGCATAGAAGTGCTTTTAACCGGACAGTTGTCACGTGTTAAGAGGTAGCAGGTTACCCTCATGGAAAGAGAATTAGGACCAGAGGGTGAAAATCACAGGAAGCGAAATTTTGGTTCCAATATGGTTTGATTTCTAAACTGCAAACTGCTATGGAAACAAAAGGTGATAGCAGCTGCATTTTGAATGGCGACAGTACTAGGATGAGCTGCTGCCCAGTAGCTAGGGCTCCACTGTCTTGTGTGCAAATAGTCTTTTTGAACTTCAGAGCAGGACTTTGCATTGATTCCTGTTAGCCTTGACTTTGTTGATTTGGAGCCTCAGGAGAGAAACTCCAGCTCCATGGAATATGGTGTTCTAAGGAGGGAACTGAGGAGGGATTCTCCAGAACTTCCTGAGGGTTTGACTTTCTTCTCCATCTCCACCGAGGGCAGAGGAAACAGTGAAACCTCTCCCAAGAAGGCAAAAATCTCAGTGCAATTGGTAGAGCGTGGGGGCTGCTGGGTGAGCAGCGGAAGAACAAGTCACAGACTCTTGGGGTGAGAATCAGGAGACCAGGGTTGCCTTTCCCACTCATTTTGCATGTGACTTTGGGAAGTTCTCTCCCCTCTCTGGACCTTGGTTTTCCCTTCTGTAAAATGGTCCCACTTGAAGATGATCTCTAAGGGCTTTTCAATCTGTGCTTCTATTGTATGCAACAGGCATTCACAGCTTAATTTAAGGACCAGTGCCTTCCAAAAGCTCGTCTTTCTTTGCAGATACCAACTACTCGGAGGGTGTTAGGAGAGGGAAGTTAGCATGCACGACTCATGCCGGAAGGCAGGAATACTTCCTGGGAGGCAGCTGAGACTGGAACAAACCGAGGAGAGCTCTACACGGGGGCTCGGTATGGCAGCAGCAATGCAATGAGACGAACCTCCAAACACTCTGCCAGGTACGTGGTAACCCAAGTCTGCCTGAATCCTGAGTGGCCACCTCCTGCACTCTCCATTTTCCATTTCTATTGGGTTCCACATCATCTCCCCCACTCCATCTGCCCTGCCTGTGCATGGCTCTGTCCCATCGTGTGTCACAGCTCCCAAAGGTGGGATCTAAATTGGCTTAATGCTCCCCTGAACTTGGGGCCCTTCACAATTACATAGTGAGTACGTGTTCCTTATGGTAGGTTCCCAGAAATTAGGAAGCACATTTCTGGTTTCAGTTATTGCTTCATTCTTTTATCCTCCCATCCACCCACCCATCCACTCTGCGCAATTTACCTCCCGCCTGTTCTTCTGTCCATTTGCCCTGTCATTCATGCAATCAGCGCCTACCACGTACATAGCACTGAGAAGACTGACAGAAGGGCCGTGAGGATCACGTTCCTAGAGCTCAGACAAAGAGGATGAGAAGTGGAATTATTTCCTTTAAGAATCTTTCCTTCGACCAACAGTTATTGGGGAGCATCCCCCTGATGTCTGATCAGTATCACAGTGCCCAGCACTGATCAGAGAGATGTCTGATCAGTATCACACTGAAGTCCTATGGAAAAAGCAGAGGCCTGCGGATCTGGATATCTGGGTTCTAGACCCGCCACACCTATGAAGTCTTATTGACCCACTCTATCAAATTCTGGCTTGAACAGCCATTGTTTCTGATTTTTGTGGCCCACATTGTAAAGAAAGTTGTCCCAAGGAGCTTTCAACCCAAGGTGTGCAAATCTAAGCCCAACATACTAAGATCTATAAATAGAAATCCCAGATGGGCGCACTCTCCCCCCCCAGGAGCATGGCAGCCCCTTCCCTTCCCCCTTCTTCTCCCCTCACAGGCGTGCATCCCCTAAACTCTAAGGGACCCCACGAGACTTGTGACCAGGGGAGCAGTGGGCAGCGGCAGCTCATCCCCGACTAGCCCCCTGACTCTGTCTGCAAGGCCCCCTTTTCTCTGACTTTTCAGTGAGCCAGAGCAGCCCGCCTGGGCTCGCTTCCTTCCAATCCTTCTAGAGAGCAAAGCAGCCCCGCCTGGGCTCTGTCCTGTTGCCTCATCCGTCCTAAGGCCTTGTTTCACAATCCGGAGCTTTAACTTCTGAACATCAGAAAAAAGAATCCTTGATAAAAGCGGTCACAAGGCAGATTTTTGCCGAGTGCCAAAGGATGACGACAGAACAATTCCGGGAGTCAGTGGGAGGATGACACCTGTGGATGTAATTTTTGTATCTGACTGAGAGCCGGAACGGGACCTGTGGCTTCCACTTACTCCTTTGTCTTTGGGCACAAGCCAACGGCCCAGCTCCCAAAGGTCCTCAATCTATCCAGGTGTCCCAGTGTCCCTGAGGAGAAAAAAAGATACAAGTTTAAAGAATTTGTGCCCCAAATGAATAAATATATCAGAAGAAAATAATTCCACCTTGACACTCTAGTCAGGAAGGGAAGGGAGTGACATTTAAGGAGGCGCTAACAAGTGCTAGACGCTGCATGCCCACACTTTCTCGTGTACTCAATACAACAAAGGCAGGTCTTTTTATCTCCACGTTGTTAACAGGTTGAGTGACTTGCTCAAAGTCTTACAGAAAGCAAATAGAGAAGCTAAGTCCCAAACTCAGATCTTCAACCTCCGAACTCTCCATAGCTGCCAAGCCCCCCAGGAGGTAAGCAGTATTCTTGGGACACTCCGGGGGTCAGCCGCCCCGCTGGGCCAGGACTCTGCTCACTATTCTTCCTCTCTGTTTAATATTTAGAGCCCAAGGGGTTCCACAGACCTTGAGATGGCAGGGGTCCCATGCATGGCACTACTGGCTCTGTTTTGGGTCTTTACCTGTGCATTGCAGGATGCTTAGCAGCATCCCTGGCCTCAGCTCACCAGATGCCAGTAGCCCCCGCCACCATGTGTGTCAAAAACGTCTCCAGACGTTTCCCAATGTCTTCTGGGAGGCAAATCAGCTCTGGTTAAGAACTACTGGAGTAGAGCTACAGGCCTGTCTCAGACAGTTTCCTACCCTTCCTACCCAAGAAAGTCTCGACGAGAAGGGCAACATCCTATCTCTATTTACATCTGTGAACAGACAACCAGGGATGACAACTGTGATGGTGACAACCACAAACACAACAGCTACCATTTATCCAGTGATTACTATGTACGGTTACCATGCTGAGTTTTTCGTACGTCTTTTCTCACATATATTATCTCTATTCTCTGGATGAAGGAACTGAGGCACAGAGAGGTGAGGTAGCTCACCCAACATTTCCGTGCTGATGTGTAGCAGAGCTAGGAGGCATCATTCCTCCCTCGGGGGGCCATCAGTCAGCCTAACATACAGGATTTAGACTCTATTTGTCTGACCCCGGGGTCAGTCCTCTCAGTCCTCTCTTGTCTCCTGAGCCCTGCCTGAACAGAGCGAGCCCATAGGCCAGGAGCGGGCAGCGCACTGCGGCGGGTCAGACGAGCCCAGGGGGTGGCAGGCACCAGCACGCAGCAGGAGGGAGGACGTGACAGGGAGCGGAGAAAGAGTCCTGGAGACACGGGGCCCGCTGGAGTGGGGCTGTGGGAAGTGGGCACAAGAGCCAGCTGGACAGGCCCGATTCCCTCCCTGCCAAGCAAGTCCCAGCCCCTGCTGTCATCATGGGGGACTGTAAGCCACCTCACAATTCCTTTGACATTGTTTTTGTAAGTGCTGACTCTGGCCAGCACATGGCTTGTCGATAAACAGCATGTTTGTATAAGAATCCTAGGAAATAACTTCACAAGATACAGACTCTGACCTTCAGGCATCCCTGCTCCGGGAGATTTGATGACCTTTAACCATGGACCAGGATGACGTATACTAGACCATCACTTGCCGCATCAGAATGGACTGTGCTCATCTGCACGTAGAGAATGTTACAACCCGTCCCTTGATCTCTTTGTCCTGCCCACCCTCTCCTTTCTCAGAAAAACCTCAGCCTGCACTGAGATGTTGAGATGGGCATCGAGGCCAGAGTCCCCCATCTTCCCGGTGGCCGGCACCTGAATAAGCCCCTTTACATTAGCACCCGCCTTCTCAGTATTGGCTTTTGAAGCGGCATGCAGTCGGACCTGTGTTCGGTTATCCTACCTCCAACCTAACTTCAAATACATCTGCAGTTCACTCTGTCCTGAAGGACTCCCCCCAGCCCAGCCCTTGCCAGCCAGGATTCTGTCCCATTTGTGGGATTTATTTGCCCAGTTAACTGGTAACCATTCTCACTTTTTCCTTTGCAAATCTCCTTGCTGCCAATGTAACCTAACTTACCTATATATACACACCCAGGCTTACAGGAACCTAGCATAGACTAGCTCTTATTTAAAATTCATAACTTTGCTTAGATTAACCTGTAAACCTACTTAGATCACCCAGATGTTATTTGTGGAGCCATATCCTGTCATTTGCTAAGAGTTTAACAGAAGGTCTGAGACTGAATGAGTTAAACTTTCTTTCATACCTACGCCATCCCTGACGTTGACAATTGCTGGAACTGTTTTGTTTTTGGGGTTTGGTTTTTGTTTTTCCCCCAGGGATGAGCCCAGGATGCTTTGCAGGCCCAGGGGGCTGATCTGGCTCACACCACCTGAGACGGGCTGAAGTGGCCTGGAGGACTCGCTACTACTACTACCTCTTTGTGAACTACCCCCATTATTCCCTCACGGTCACACCGGAGCCTCCTCTCGGGGTGGAGACTTTCCAATGTTTTTGAACATGTGAAGTACATGCAGGCATCTTTCCAACTGCTCATTGCAATAGTGCCCCTACCTGTACAAGTGATGACGAAGCTCACCTTGATGTTTATGCATGATTTTCCTGAATGACGATGAAGCTGATCCTTTGTCTGGGGACAAGCGCTTTGGGAAGTAACCCTTCCACACCCCCTCACATGTGTCCTTGCCTGCCAGCTCTCAATAATGTACACTCCTTCTCATAAAACCTTCTCAGAGTTGTCCTTTGGCTAGCAACTACCGAGTAATTGGACCCGGTTCCATTCGGTAACACCCATCTGGTAAGGGCTTAGAAGGTCTTTACTCTTGTAAGTCCCCTTCCTGTCCCATCCCAGTGTGCAAGGATGCCACTCAGCTGCGTGGCCCCTCCGTGGGCCTGTTAATCCTTTACAGAAGAGAGAGACCGCACTGCACGGGGTAGCCAGGCTTGCCCCTCCCCAGAGAGCCAGGGCCTTTGACCTCCTCCTGCAGCCCTCTGGCTCCGCAGTGACTTAGGGATGGTTCTCCTGGCCCACAGGGAGATGGCAGGTAAAAGGGATAAATTCGGTTTTACCTCATCCTGGGAGAAAAAATTTAGGATCTATCTTTTTCTTTTAAAAAATACAGGAGGGACGTATGGTTAAACATAGCAGGTGGAACACAGGTATCCCTCTCTGCTTCCTCCTGAAACCCCTCACAAATGATAGTAGACACAGCCACAGGCGCCCATGTACATTTAAATGAAAATTAATTAAAGTTAAATAAAATGAAAATCTCAGTGTCCCAGTTGCGCTTGCTACATTTCAGGTGCTAATGGTCACTGCGGCCTGGGGCTTCCGCGTTGGCCGGCACAGGTCTAGAATGCATCCACCAATGCATCAAGTTCCACTGGACAACGCTGCTCTAGACCCTGGTCGTCGGGAAGTGTGGTCCTCGGATCAGCTGCAAGGGCAGCTCTGAGGACCTTATCAGGAATGCAGAATCTGGGCTCCCTTCAGACCTGCTGGATAAGAACCTGCCTTTTGGCAAGATCCCCAGGTGACGGTTAATCTGTGGCTGAAAATGAGGTCAAAGGAAAGTCTAAAAAATCCTGCATTGTGGGGCTCCCCATCCTCTCCAAGTGGCAAGCAGGAGACTAGAAATGAGGCTCTGGGGAGGCTGACCAGCCAAAGACAACAGACGGATAGACACTGATTGACGTTAGAGGATTCTCCAATGAAATGACCAGGTTCCTGCCAATCAGCCAATGGGGAGGTTGCTAGGTGACAAACCCCCACCCAAGACCTTCCCAGGAGTTGTGTTTTTTGTTTTTGTTTTTTGCAAAGAGATTTTTAGGGTCAACAGACTTTGGGGAATAAAAGCCTCAAACATGATAAAGAGAGAAAAAACAAAATGAATGAATAGATAGGGTCATTCAAGGCAAACAGATACTATAAAGAACAGAAGAAAACTTCAACATCCTCAGGGAGACAGGATAATATACATATAAAATAGGAACAGGATGCTCTAAGAAAAGAACATTTTGAGAACAAGAAAGGGTTCTATAAAATTAAAAATGGACAAAAGAAATAGTACAAAATTCAAAAGAAGTGTTGGAATACAGCTGAGAAAATGTCTCATAAAGCAGAACAAAAAAGATTAAAAAAAAAAAAGACAGCAGGTGAAAACAGATTACTCCAGGAGGTCCAACATCCTAGTAAGAATTCCGGAAGTGTAAGCAGAGAAAATCAAGGGGAGGAAATTATCGAGCAAAAAATAATACCTGAAAATTTCCCAGAAATGAAGGCTATGAATTTTCAGAATGAGAGAGCCCTCTGAGTCCCAGAACAATGAATAAAAAGACCCACAATAGGGCCCATTATCACGACTTTTCAGAGCACAGGACACAAAGTGAATACTCCACCACGTCCATAGAATTTTTTTAAAGGCTAGACACAAAAGACCGACAATCAGATGAAATCAGAATGGCACTGCATTTGATGGCAGCAGCACTAGAAGCTCTGAGACAACCCTCCAAAATTCTGAGGGAAAAGAATTTCCAGCCTAGACATGCACAGCAAGCCAAGCCAAATATTGAGTGAAAGAGCATAACAACGATACTTTGGGGCATGCAAGGATTTTTTAAAAAATCTTCTCCACCCCTTTCCATGCACCTTTGCCCAGGAAGCTTCTAGAGCAGTGATTTTCAACCCGTGCACACTGGCACACCCGTTGGTGAAAGAATTTTTAAGGAGCTGGAAGCAGGGCAGAGGGGGCGCCTCCCTGATCCCATCCACCACCCCCACCCTAACTCCTGTCCCCCCCGCCCCCATCCCTGCCCCCGTGACTCAGCGCCGCCACCGTGAGATGCGGGTGTTGGCAGTGAGGCCCTGGAGGGGGACTGCGTGGGAGCCAGTGGAACAGGGACGTGACCAGGACCACGGACGGGCAGAGCAGCCCCTGCAAGGTCGTAGTGGTGGGGACAACGGAGAGCGGTAGGCTGCTGCAGCCGTTGGCACAGGACGCCTGCCTACCTGGGGAGTTCCGTCCCCATGTGTTTGAGAACCACACTGCGGGGTCCGAGATGGACAAGTGAGCACGCTTAGAGCTCAACATAAGGGACACTTCAGGTTCCTCTTACTGGGGTAACACCCGGCCCCTGGCCTGTACAGATTCAGCCACTGTGCTCATCTGCTTTGACATTAGCCGACCAGAAACACTGGACAGCATCCTCAAGAAGTGGCAAGGGGAGACCCAGGAGTTTTGCCCCAGTGCCGAGGTTGTGCTGGTTGTCTGTGAACTGGACATGCTGACGACCTGGCCGCACTGAGGGAGCTGTCCAAGCAGCAGGATATTCTTGTTACACGGGAGCAGGGCACCGTGCTGGCCAAGCAGGTGGGGGCCGAGTCCTACGCGGGGAGCTCCTCTGGGCAAAGCGGCAGGGTTGTCTTCCACGTGGCCACAGGGGTCTCCCCTGGGCGTGGCCATAGGCAGCTGGGTACTTACGTACTCACGCCTGGGACTGCAGCGATCCGCTCCCCGGCAGGACGGCCAGGTTAGGCAAAGGAGTGGGGAGCGGAGCGGGAAGGAAGGCGAGATACACAAGGATCCAGCCAAGAGCTGCAGCCTCATGTGAGGAGCCGGGAAGGGGCAGAGTGTCAGGAGGGGTGATGAAGGGCACAATTGTTCCCCTGCCTGCACCCTGGCTTCCTGACGTCCCGACTCTGGCTGGGACTTCAGGGCAGGCTGAGTGAGCAAATCCTCGGCAAGGGTCCCGGAGGCAGAAGGTGCCGCCATCCCCCCATCTTCATCCCCCTCCTCTCCACAGGAAGTCGACGGGGCTAGCCCGGGGTGGCGTCTGGGCCACGGGCTGGGATGGGGGTCAGGAGCTGGGGAAGGTGGCATCAGGCAGTGACCTTGGCTGAGTCTCAGTATTTGATGGGCCACTTCCGTCCCTGCCTGGAGTCCCCACACCCTGGTCCTGGCTTCCTTCCCCAAGGAAAGTGTCCATTCAGTGGCCTACCCCTTTCCTCTCCTCTCGCTTCTGCAGCTGCTCTCCCTCATCCTAACCTCCGAGCATGAGCATCGCATCGAGCATCGTGCACCGAATTACAAAGCAAGCTGAGAAGCCCCTCCCCCACGCATCCTCCTGTCTCACCCCCTCTCCCTGCCCCCCACAGTCCCTAAATAAAGTCCGTGTCCACAGGGGAAAAAAAGTTTAAAACATGCACTACCTATTTATTCGGGACACTGACCTCTTTTCCCATAGAGTGTCCAACAGACAAACGACAACAGCCAACACAAAAATAGCCATCTGGTATGAATGAATGAATCAAAATTATACCTATTTTTTGGTCAGACTGGCAAAAATTATAAAATATTTTTTGGTGTGCGGCGGAACTTTAGTGTTTAGCTATGCACACCATGAGATGGAAAAGGCTGAAAGCAGCTGCCCCAGAGGGGCCCCACCAGAGTGCAGGGTAAACTGAGCAAGAGAAGCGAGCGGGATCCAGGGATGAGGGGGTGGCCATGACTACTGGGGAGAGGAGGGAGGTGCAGGGGGATCCCACCAGCCAAGATAAAAAGAAACCAGTAGATTTTCTCATGTCTTATCCAGACTGAAAGATCTACGTTTCTGTTGGAGTGTTTGGGGGATTCATTTATGTTAAAAAAACAAAACAAAACTAAGCTCTTCCTAAAGGCATAAGGAACCAACTCCATCCCCCACAATTCCTTTTTCACTCCTGACACCCGCTGGGGTGGCCCGAGGAGGCACCCCCTGTGATCACAGGACTCTGTGGAAAGCTGTCTGAAAGCTACTAAGCTCAATCTCCTTACAAATGGGGAAACCGAGGCCCAGCAAGGCCCTCCAGGGGCACACGGAGAGAAGTAGTTTCATTGGGTGAGTTTTGGAGAACTCCTTTCCGATTCATCATTCTAGACAAGATCAGTAACAACAGCAGGAACCAAACCGAGCCTGAAGGAAGCCCGGCTGGTGGGTGAGACCCCACCCGGCCTGTGTGACCCGACTTAGCTCTGCTCTCCTCCAGTCACCGGGCTGATGAAGCTGCACTAAGTTTCTGAAAAGCACAGACTCAGTTACTTCTAATTTCCCGCGTGACATCTAACGACCACCCATTAAAGCAAGATCACGTAAGTGTGATTGAGTTTTCTGCACCATGAATAAGTCGGCTGTAAACTTCTGGGAAAAACACTGGGGTGGGAGCACGGGGGAAAAAGAAAACAGACATAAACAAGTGCCAGCAACCCCTTGGAACCAGGTGCCTGACCCCCAGTGCTCTTGGGTAGATCCTTATTATTATTTGTAAGAACTAAGGCCAGTGTCCTCTTACAAACGCCAATAACCAGACTTTGCTCCTAACACTGACCTTCCGGGGGTCTCGCTTTTGATTCTTTGCCTCTCTGTCTGCATTTCCTGAGGGCTTGGCTAACAACAAAGTGTTTGTAATTAGTAAGTGAAGGATGGAAACTCCGTTTGGAGTGTCTGCACCTGAATATGAAATTCTAAGAAACTTGCTACTCTGTAATCTTAACACATGACATTCTCTCTTTGAGTCTTAATGCCCTGGTCTATGAAGCTCATCTCCTTCCCTATTTAACAGGGTCACCACCAAAACCCCAACAGAGAGGCCTGATGTAGGGGGCAAGAACCTGGGCTGGAAGTTAAGAGTCCTGGGTTTGAGTCTTACCTCTGCTGCTTGCTGTGTGACCTTGGGCAAGTCACTTCTTCTGTCTGGACTGGAGGCTGCTCTCCCGCAAAACGCACAGCCGGGGCCCAGTGATCTCCCTCTCATGCTCCTTCCATCGCGTGACTCTCCCAGACTCCCAGTTTCGTTCAGGACGTGGCCCCTCGGCCTCCCCAAGGCCTGCCTGCCTCCCACACCCTCCATTCCAGAAGGAACACCCTTCCCCTTTCCTGCCCAAGCTGGGGCCTGGCAAGCACTGGGCTGCAGAGAGGACAGGAGGTGGGGAAACTATCCCAGCAGTTCAAGCCTCCGCGGTGAGGGCTGGCCTGTGGCCAGTCTCAACAGGCCCCGAGATACAGAGGGGCATTTGTCTGGGGGACCCAAGGTTTCGTTTCAACCCTCGCTCTTGCTTTGGCCCACTGCCTCTCTTTTCTCCCCTCCCTCTCGGGCAGCAGGAGCAGCACCGGCTTTGTTTTGAAGCGGCATGCAGATGTTTCACAGACCCAGCAGACAAAAGGGGGTAGGGTGGCAGTGGTGAGGGTGGCCGCAGTGAGGGCGGAGGGTGGAGACAGTGGGGGGCGGGCAGGAAAGGCTGTGGACAGAGCAGTGGGGCAGCAGAGAAGGCTCAGGAGGAGGGGGCTCGGTCCCCAGCTCCTTCATTGATTAGCCAAGTACCCGTGAGCTGGGTACTTCCTGCTCTTCTCCAGGCCTCAGTTTCCTTGGCTTTAAAATGGGAGCGACTGCCCCCCCAATGCTAAAATAAAATGCTGATCTTACAAATAGTGTGGTGTAGTGAAGAAAAGGGTTTGGAGTTACATGAAACTGAGTTCAAATCCCACACCTGTCACCTCTAAACTCACTGTTGTGGGCAACTTAGTTACCCTCCACGAGCCTCCTTTCCCTCGAGAAAAAAAAGAGGCACATGTTCACCTAGATGAGGGTGTAAGGAGCAAATAAGGACTGACAGGCAGCCCCTTGCGCTGGAAATATGTTTGCACGAACAAAGAGCTGGTCAGAGCCACATCAGGGTGGACTTTGGTGGCCCCCCCCCACCATAATACATGTTCATGGACTCCAAACATCTTATTTTTTCTGATGTGAGAAAAAGAATCGAAACATTTTCTCCCACCCTAAAAGTTGTCCCCCCCCTCCTTGATTTTCAAAGAAATTAAAACATTTGGTGGGGGGCTCAAGTCTACCTCAAACTAGAACGTAGGATGGTCAGAAAGGCCCCACAGGTCTTAGTCCTGTGGACACCTCCAGTCCCAGCCTTGTCTGAGCTGAGCCCCGTTGGTCCCTCCTATCCCGGCCACAGGGCCTTTGCATGTGCTAGAGCACCCGTTCCTCACCCGCAGGCACTTATGATGCTTTAACCCGAGTGTTACTTCTGATGTCTGTGCCGTGCACTCTGGCAGCGCCAGGCCCCTCTCCTACCACTAGGTGGGTATAGCGCCTTCTCTTTGACACGTGGTGCGCCCCACGCCAGACTCCGAGCCCCATGTGTACAGCGGCTGTGCCCATCTGTCTTCGCCTTTTGAACCCCTAGTGCCTCAGACACTGCTGGGCACACTGTAAGTACGAGCACGTAGTTGCTGGATGAAGTCACAACCGACTGAGTGAGTGAGTGAGCAGTGCTTGTTCGGTCATTGCTGGCGGACCTGCAGCCCCATCAAGGATCCAGCACAGACCCTCCGGCCTGTGCCTTCCCACCACTGCATGCGCTGCCACCGTGATGAAGATGCAACACTAAGACACGAGACGGGCTGTGCGTGCCAGGGAGCTCAGGGAGGGAGAGGGTGCTGCGTAGGGGGCAGAGGAAGAGGGCGGGCTGCCTTGAGTGGCACCCTGTGGTCACTAAACTCTCGGGCTGTGGGGTCCGAGAGACCTGGTCTGCATCCCAGCAGTCCATCAGTCGGACATATTTACTTGGTTCTACATGCCAGCCCTCTGCTAAGTACTTTATATTTCTTGATTGTCTTATCCACCCTAAGTAAAAAGCTTATTACAACTTAAAATATTTACACAAGGAAACCGAGGTCCAGAGAGGTTAAGTAATTTGTCCAAGGTCACTGAGATGGGGTGTGAGCCCAGGGAATCAGACCTAGTGTCTGCTCCATATAGGGAGGGCACAGCAATAAGAACACACATTTAATAAGCACTATGCGCCAAGCACATTTCTAAACACTTTACAAAAACATTTTATTTATATGGTTTCTATTTCATCTTTTTAATACGTCATGTTATTCCATAACAACCCTATGAGGAGAGTATCACTATCTCCATCTTAAAGGTGAAGAAACTGAGGTCCAGAGAGGTTAAGCAAGTTGCCTGAGGTAACACAGCCAACAAAAGGGGTAGCACTGGGGGGAACCCAGGCAGAACACCCCAGAGTTCTTGCCTTTTTTTAAAAAAAAATATTGATTACCCATTCTTCTTTAAAAAACTGATTTGAGAGAGAGAAACACCGATTCGTTGGTTGTCCCCTTATTTGTGCGCCCACTGGTTGGTTCTTGCGTGTGCCCTGACGGGGGACCAAACCCGCCACAACCCGCTGGCGTATCGGGTCTACGCGCCAGCCACTGCGCTGCCTGGCCAGGCCTCAGAGAGTGTGCTTTTAACCACCCCACTTCACAGCTTCTGCTCAATGAATGAGCATTTTTGTTAAGATGTTACTGGGATTTTGTAAGGGGAAGAAGGGGGCGGCAACGTTCTCACTGGGAGGCGCAGGGGGGGCGAAAACTGGGGAACAGGGGGTGGGGATGAGCACGTTCAGGAAGGGAAGTGTAAGATTTGGTGAGGGGATGGGCCCGGGAAGGCCGGGATGGAGATTGGATTTCAGGGATGTGTTGGGATTAATTGGGAACTTCCTCTATGGGGAGAAGCTGGCATGCCTTGCTCTTTCAAGAATCAGGATGTTACGAATTCCGCATGAGATGCCTGAAAACTCAAGAGTGTCAGGGCCAGACTGACCTGGCTCTGCTGGGTGCCCTTTGGAAGGTTACTTAACCTCTCTGTGCCTCCATTCCTTTTCTGTAAGATAAAGGTGAAAAAAAAAAAAAGGGGACCTCCTTTATTGAGTCGGTGTTTAGGTAAAAGGAGACAATGAATATAGAGCCCCTGGCTGAATGTTTGGCACATAACAGCCCTTTAATAAATTTCATTTCTCTCCCCTCTGCACCTTCAGAGAGAGCTCCCCGAAGCCCCAACCTTAGCAGAACTGAGGCGAAAATTGGTGACTTGATCTAGAGGCACTGACATTCCTGGAGACCCCTGGTCAACAGGTGAGGGAGGAAGAAGATGAGAGGAAAATGTCAACCTATCCAGTGTCAAGATGTGTTCGAGATGGAGAAAAAAAGAATACTTATAATCTATTTCCTTCTCCTTCCTGCTGTGTCAACCCGGGGTTATGTAACTGAACTTCTCTGTGAGGTAACCCTTGGGGGCCTCCAGGAGGCAGGGCTGGCAGTGACATAAATAAATATTTCTGTGCTCTCTGCCCAGGCTCTGAGCAAACACCACAGCCTGCGAGGGAGGCCGTGACAAGGAGGAAGCTGGGAGAGGAGTGAGCGCTGGCGGGGAGTCAGGAGACCCGCGTTCTGGGCCCAGCCCTGCCTCGCGGGACGCGGACATTAGGTGACACGCTTTCACGGTAGAGTGACCTGGGTGGAGAGATGCCAGTGCGGGCTGGGAGCCGTGGAACCCTCGGCCCGTTCTGTTTGCAGAGAGAATAAAGTTCGCTCCCCACCTTGGCCTGGCATTCAAAGCCTTTCACGCCTCTCTCCCATCCCATCCTGGCACCCGCCACAGGCGACACCTTGGCTCTTTGGAACTACTGAGTTCCCTGACAGTATCGTCCCCTCTCTGGAATGTGCCCCCTGCCCTGTGCACTGGTGGTGACAGAGGAAACAAAGGTATGGGTTTAGAGCTCAGGCTTAGTTAAGTCACCTTGGGCTCGTGCCTTAACCACTGAGCCCGTTTCCTCATTTGGAAACTGGGCTTCGTGATTCTCGTCTTGTTCCTTGTTGAGCAATCCAATGAGATAATAGCGGTTAATAGTAAGTGCCCACTACTTAGCCGTACTGTGTAGAGCAGGCACCTGTAAGGGTTTGTGCCATCAGGCACTTGGCAAGGCACACCGACCCCCACCACAGTGCGCACTGAAGATGCTCGTTTCCCTTTCCTCCAAGACCTGCCCAAAGCCTCCCTACCAATCTCAAGTGGGTCAGTCTGTTCTGAGAATCTTCACAGCGTCTCACGGGTACCTCTGAGACAGCACTTGCCCCATGAAAGTGCTGTAGTTAGTAGATATGTCTCTCTTCTGTTCTAGGAGCTCTCTGCCCTAGTCACGGCCACATTGGCACACTCAGCATGGGCACTTGAATGAATGAGTGAATGAATGAATGCACACATACGGGCTGCATGAAAGGGATGTACTTAAGTAAATGCTTGAGGATGGCCTGGGTTTGAACTTATCTTTCTGGGCTCTGGATCCCCTCACTCAGCTCCACACAACTCCCGGGGAAAGTCACACCCTCCTTTGGGCTTCTACATCACTTGGATTTGGACCATAATTACTTTTTTCTTTCTAAAAGTAAATAAAATCTTTAGAGAGAGTGGAAGGGAAAGAGAGAGAGAGAGAGAAACATCAATGTGTGAGGGACACATCGATTGACCAGTTGCCTGGCCCCCAACTAAGGACCTGGCCCGCCACCCAGACATGTGCCCTGACTAGGAACAGAACTGGTGACCTTTCCAGTCACAGGTCGGTGCTCAACCCACTAAGCCACACCAGCCAGGGCTGGACCAGAACTTTCTAGTCAATCACCAGGATACTAGTGCTAGCAAAGCAAAGGATTTTTGGCTCACGAGGAATCTGAGAGACCTGGAAGCTATGGAGTGAATGCAGAAATACTGGAATTTCCAGAATAGTCCAGTAATTTATGAACAGTAGACTTACTTCCACAGCGCCTGGGCTGGCTATGACCCCAGCATGCAACTGTCTGACAAATGCTTAGTGGATTGGGGACAGTGTGTTTTTACTCCATCGTGGGGCTGAGATATGCTACTGTGAAGGAACAGAAGCCACCAGCCATCTCTTGGGGACCCACTTGTTGGAGAAGGAATCA